GTTGTCTCTTGGAGGCCTGCTTCTTTCTGAGGGGAAATGGAGTGGGAGTAGATCTAGAGGAGAGGGGAGGTGGGGGGAAGCTGAAAGGAGTGGAAGGAGGGGAAACTGTGGTTGGGATATACTGTAGGAGAGAAAAATCTATTTCAACAAAATATAAATAATAAATAAATATTCTGTGGCCCATCTTAAATTTTTTTAAATAAAGACAGTGATACAGTATTATCTTAAGACCAGTTACCTAATAAAGATCCTCTTCTCAATCATCATAATCTATGCCTGAAGCAAGCATTAGCTTAAAATTTATTTTCTTGAATTATAGTTTTAACAATTAATAATTAGACATGTAAATTAATGTAATGGTGTCCAATTTTTGTTTGCTTTTTATTTCTGGAGAAGTGGTTTACAATGCATTATTTTATTTTACCAATTTTACAGAGATGTGATTAGATTCATCTGCGGCAGATAGGGCCCCCTGGAAAGCTGACTGTGAAATGTAGGTCAGTATCAGCATATCCAGGAGTGCTGCTGCAGAGATTGGAAAGCTCTCCCTCCCCCTCACTCTCTCTTTTCCCCTCCCCCTCCCTCCCTCTACCCCTTCTGTCTCTCCTCTCCTCTGTCTCTCTGTATATTCATGTGTGTATATTTTCACATGTGCACACGTATATAAAGACCAGAAGTCAATCACATGACACCCTCTAAACTGTCCACCTTTTATTTATAAGATGGGATGATAGAGTGGTCTAGTGCTCACTGTCTCACTGACTAGACTAGACTGGCTGAATGGTGGACCTCAGGAATCCTCCTGTCTCTCTCTCCCCAGCGTTGACACCATAAGTGCCGCCTGACTTTTTATGTGGGTGCTAGGGATCAAGCTCATGTCCCCATAATTACATGGCATGCACTTTACTAACTAAGAAAAAACTCCAGCCCCAGATATTGCAGAGTTTTACATTTACTCTCTCCATCTCCACCCTGAAGTTTCAGAATTTTAGGTTATGGAGTAAACTGCCCAAGACAGATGAGAGCAGAAAAGATGAACTTTGTTAGAAGATAAGCACAGAAGCCACACAGGTACAATAGATGACTCAAAGAGTGACCGAGCGACTGGAGAGCCAGACCTTTTTCTGTTTTTAAACAAAGGGCTAGGGCTTGGGCTTCTTCGGGGGAGGTAGATGGTGCAGGCCACAGAAGGGTGAGGGGAGGATATACACTGGAAGTCAATGGTGTTTGCTATGCTGTCTTCCAATAACAGACACTTGAGGTCATGGCCACCACCCCAACCCCCACTGGTACTTTTCCTAAGAGAAAGTGGGGTATCCACAGAACAGACTTCATCTGCATCTGCAGTCCACTGATTTAGGTAGGTGACTAAAAAGGCAGATTTTTTTGGACACTCTCATGTCTGCTAAAGTCCACATTTTCTCCAAATAATCAACTTGAAATATACCAGGAAAAGTACTTAGGATGACATATTTTGTTCTCCTGCAGCATCAACACATGAGAAAGGAGGAAGTAAAACTGGGCAGACAGAGCTGAGTTTAATGAAATGTCTGTGAAAGATACAGCCGAGCCTAGGGGGAATTCCAAGACTGACAGGCCCTTCAGAGTTGCCTCAAGTTGTGGAAACAAGCCTTCTTCTCCTTCATCAGTCATTGGATGGAGGCATGGACTCTGGCCAGGACAGTGCTCCCCAGACTAGACAAATACTGGCGGCAGAGATGACAACTGAAGGCTGTCTGTTGACAGCCCTTCCAGTGGCTGGAGAAACAAGGCCCTTATCCCTACAGTGGCCTGGTTGGGGCCACATATCACAGTATTGATGACAGTCATCACCTACATCATTAACTTTGGTAAAGGGTAAATAAGTATATTTAAAAGACTTATCATTTTTAATTAATAAAGAAGCAAATTTTAACTCAGATTCTGACTCAAATCATATCTTGGTTATGGGCTGAATTTGTAGTTTGTTTAAAATGTGTTAACTATGCTGAGACCCACTTTTTAAATACATAAAGTGATGTAGACTGTATTTGACAACACCTAAAGTGTGTGTGTATGTGCGTGTGTTGTGTTATTAAGCCTTCTGTTTAAGAGAAGTCACACAATTCACAAGCACATTGCTCAACAATCCCTCTGTCATTTTCCATTAAGCCAGAGAAGGCTGTCAGAGACATTGCTGCAGTTTTCAATGGCTATACAATAGACCACTGTGAACTTAGTGCTACCCGTCCACTTTATCACCTCAAAGTTCCACAGTCCCAACGTCCACAATGATCTGTGGCCTTTTCGGTCAGAGTGTCACAAGAATGAAATTAATGTGCCAGCTGAACCCAAGGCTCCTTTGACTCCTGAGGCTTTTCTTTCAAGCTCATTTAAGCTGTTGATAGGATTCAGTGGCTCATAGTTGTAGGGCTGAGGCTTTGGGTATAGTCTAGATTCCTCCTAGGTCACTCTTGCAGAGGGAGAGTCTACTTTGTGTTTCTGTAACAAAATGCTTGAGATGATAAGCTTAATAGAGCCAATGTTTCTTTGGTCTCAGTACTGGTTTATCAGCAACGGCCAAGTGACTCCATGGCAGGAGCATAAGGTAGAAACTGGCCACTAAGTGGCATCCAGAATGCATTAAAAAAAGAAGAAAATATCAAAGCCCACATTCTCTTCAAGGGAAATCTCAAATAACCCAATTACTCTTTTGTTTTTACCTAGCCCAACCTCATAAGAGATCTCCAGCCTTCCATCAGGAGTACGGGCTAGGGTATAGATATTTAACAACATGGGTCTTGAAAGAACAATTATCAAAGCCATGGCAATTTCTATTGGCTAAAAATGATATAAAAGACATATGGAGAGTGAGATCATTATAGCGATCTACCTGAAGCCACCTTCTAGGAGCCAAAAGCAGGATAGGGAAACTTATAATTGCACGTGGAACAGGATAGCCAAGTCATCTCCCATAAAACTTATTTCTGAAAGTATAGAGATACACTACATCAGAAATATTTCAGGTTAGTATATCTTCTAATGAGGAAGACATTATCGGTCATGTTAACAAAGATGTTGCAGAAAAATAGCAGTTTATTTTAATATTTGCTACAGCTAAAGTCTAGAGGAAATTCTAAGACACTAAGTACATGGCAATGAAAGACCCCCGAAGGCAGTCTTCCCTCTGGAGAGAC